TTAGCATCTTCAGAAAATACAAAAGCATCAAAGTTTCAAAATTATAGTGAGATTTTAGATAAGCTCTAGTTCTACTTCACTCATTTACTTTTACCTAACTTCTACCACTGACAAAGCAATGCTAAAACTGACACAAATTTAAGAGAACGAAGATAGTGTCACTTCTTAAAAAAATGGCAGGGAACCAGCTTTCTCAGAACATGTCAGGTCACAGAACTCTAACCCTTATTAAAATGTCTTTAAAGCCATTTCAGTTTGACAGTTGTCATAAACACATACTAGAAATCTTTCATGAAGTAAAAAATAAACAAGTTAGAATACCATGGAAAGGGAAGAGGAGTGTGAGCTCCAGAAATCTCCACTACATGGAAGTGAGGTCACACTATCAAGTCTGATTTAACAGATGGGTGATAGGGATACCTCCCTCCTTTCTTCAAAACATAAACTGAAAGAACCACTCCTTTGTAAGATACACAAGGGTTCAGTAATGTAAGCCAGACAGAACAATCAAACATAGAAGCCAAGTAACCTTATGAAAGCTTATCTTATTTTGAAAAACAGTATTATGTTGTCTAGCAGGTGTCAAAAATACTGCCTGACAGACTTCAGTGAAGATTTCTTCTAGCTTCTCTTTCACGTTTGTATTTAGTACATTACAAGTACTCATGCATCAGAGTAGGCTAAGTTAGGCTGTTCTGGAAGTTCCTCTCTCACAGCTAGCTCATCAATACGGTAAAAATGTATTACCAAGAGTGGGGAAAGAAAACACAGAAAAAGAAAAATGGCAAAAATTCATTTTCTTCTTTAAATTAGCATCTTTTGAGAGTTGAGTAGTGACAGAAATAGCTCTCTCTATAAAAATACATACACATTCACACTGTAATATAAATTGTAAACATTTCTCAGACATAACACAAATCAACACATTTCAGCTCATTCAAAATATTAAATATAGCAAAAAAAATTTTACTTGTGAAAATTCTCATCTGTCTCCTCCAAATGCAAGAGGATCTCTTCTGCGCATTCTACTGATGGGGCTCCAGTGATTTTTTCCTTCACACTCTGCAGCAACTGTCTGAGCATAGACTGTAACAGAGCTTCATCTTCACTTGTAAAGCGAGACATCTGTGTAAAGCAAATATAAGAATAACAAACTCTCATACTTTGGGGGTTTTTCCTCCTCTCAAGAAGTCAAGAAAAGCATAAACCTCTTAAATTGCCAATTTTTTTTCCCCTGTTAGCAACAACGTGAGTTTTTCTATCAAAAGGCACTATCACAGATAGGAAATATTTGATAGAACTTATCCTCAGATGAATTAGAAACAAAATAATCAAACTAGTTTTACTAAGCCTCTAATTAGCATAATACCCTTAAATGAGATACTGCATGACGCAAAACCGGAATATTCCTGTTCGTAGTTGTTTGAGGACTTACCTATCAAATAGGCAGAAGATTACACTGTAATAAAAAAAAAGGGGGGTGGGTTTACTGATGTAATGACTGTATCTTGATGAGAAATCTCTAGAAGTCTCTCAGCCGCTTCTCATCCAGTATTACTGCCCAGTCATGATTTTGGATCACTCTGCTCAGAGCACTTGTCATGCCCACGACCAAAGGTGTTGGCAACTTTTGCAAAGGTCAGGTGGAATTATCAGAACTGTTTAATTTCCCTGCCATAATCAACTGCAGTGACCTGACAGAGTCCTGTCAATTTAATCCTATAGCTACTGGGAAAAAAAAACTAGGAAAAACAGCATCAGTAAGAAACTGGAAGCATCTGTCACAGACAGAAGACAGCATCTTATAAGTTTCATTTCCACGGGTTGTAAAAAAGAAAAACAAAACAATGCTCTGCTTCTATCTTGATTATTAACCTAAATTCATGGATTAAACTTCTTTATATGCAAAGGAATACTTCCAATCCCCACTGGCCATTCTAGTTTATATATTTCTAGTCTATCTGAGGAAGAATGATTTAGACATCCTTGACTTTATTCTATCTTTTAAAAAGTCTGTCAAAGACTCTCTAAGCACCTGTGAATTAACAGTACATACACTTGGAATAGACAATATAATACATCACTTCTTCAGACTTAAACACTATTAACTAACAAAAAAAATCAAAGCCATATAAGGACTTGCTGGAGGAGTTACCTTATGAAAGGTAACAGTTCCTTGAATTAGCAGTTCTCCGCAGCAAGTAGCACAGTTGCAGAACATTCTACTTTGATCAAATATGACTCAGCATTAACTCAATCATCTTACCAGAAATAGCATTAAAATAAAAAAATTAAAAACCACAGAACAACAACAAATCCCTTGTACTAAACTCCCGATTTGCAGTCCTCTTTCTTATGAATTAGAGTCAAAGGCATTTTTAGGTCTCTATAAACCACTCTCATAAGCCTTATACTTTGACCTTAAAATTGGATAATATCCTAAGCCCCTGCAAAAAACTTCACTTACTATTTTGGTGTAAACAGGCATTTTTAAAAGCGCAACTAACCTGGACACTGAGTGGCAATCAGTGGAAAGCCCCACCCAAAGTATTCATAAAGACAAATCATGAGAATATTGCAGTTTCACCACCAATTTGCTTTGAAAAGTCTTATTTGATTTATGTAATCATCAACAGAGACACTTAACTAAAAACTAATTTGTAAACATTTGTGGTTTGTTGCGGTTGGCTTTTTGGTGTTGTTTGCTTTTTTTCCCAGCAGGCATATCGCTCATTCAATTTCCCAGCAAAATTTTAATGCTCATTTTCTCCCTATAAAAAAAAAACCCTTACCCCCAGGCCCAGTTTGTGCGGTCTTTTCAAGTTCAAGTTAATTTTCTGGTGCTGTCCTTCAATGCAAACCCTGCTTCAAAACCCCGGAGGGATGATTCAGAAGCAGCCTGCTGTGCCCAGCATCTACCCTTATGTATCTACCCCTGCTTCAGCAAGGCTTTCAGAAAAGAAAGAGGAGAAGAAGGGAGAGAGAAGGAAGAAGGGAGAGAGAAGGAAGAAGGGAGAGAGAAGGAAGAAGGGAGAGAGAAGGAAGAAGGGAGAGAGAAGGAAGAAGGGAGAGAGAAGGAAGAAGGGAGAGAGAAGGAAGAAGGGAGAGAGAAGGAAGAAGGGAGAGAGAAGGAAGAAGGGAGAGAGAAGGAAGAAGGGAGAGAGAAGGAAGAAGGGAGAGAGAAGGAAGAAGGGAGAGAGAAGGAAGAAGGGAGAGAGAAGGAAGAAGGGAGAGAGAAGGAAGAAGGGAGAGAGAAGGAAGAAGGGAGAGAGAAGGAAGAAGGGAGAGAGAAGGAAGAAAATAAACCAAGGACCGCATTTAACAGAAACACGAGTACTGCTCAACTCTACCCGCCGCCTCGACTTTTAGTGTCGGCCCCTCAGCTGCGCATGGCTTTTTAGCAGCAACCAGGTTTCTGATGCCAACTTGTTTCGGAAAGGGCTGGTTTTGGTTTGGTTTGTTTTTTAAAGGGCCAGAAGAAGAGGGTAAACCTGCCCAGGTGCTTCTCCCGCGCTATCACTAACAGGCAGAGGGACCTTGCCAGGGCACCCACGTCACCGCTTCAG